AACAATTACAGTACACTGTACAAAAGCAAAAATGCATCTGATACGTAGCTCTGATACGCGATGCAGACAGAAGCGTGTACAGTATGAGCCAATCAGTGGCAGTAATGACAGAGCATGCGCTGTTATGCAAAAACCACATAGAGGGAAGCCGCGGAAGTCGAAGCGCGAAGTGGCGAGGGTTCACTGTATATCTAGAATCTAACTGCACCATACTACCCTTCGTACTGGCATACTTTCTTAGTTTATCTCATTAGCCTCTGTAGTGAGAGGAGTGGTTGGTGTCAGAATAGGTGAAAGTCGGCCTTAGGTTTATGTGGAGTTGGATTGTCATTCTTCCTTGTGTAGTCAAATGTGGACCCCGTGCCTTTTTTTTATTGCTTCCTCTGTGCTTTCATTCTTTATTAACACCTTTTTTCACATCCTATTTCAGCACAGCTGACATCATAATGTATTTTTAAAACCTTTCTTGTGAATTCGGTGAAGATTTGCAGAGCAGATTGTCAGTTTTACATTCAGCAATTTATGATTTTTTTAAAAACATGAATCCAGTTATGATACTGTTCTAAAAACAAGTATGCAGGGGCAAGATCGGGTTCAGAAGGTATATGGGGAAGGTTTCTCAATGGAATTCTATATGGACAGGCCTTGAAGTATCAGCACATTATTCTGATGAAAAAATTCCCAGCACTACTTTCCTAGCCTTTTCTTCACCAGTGTAGTATGCCGTTTTCTTAAAGCTTCATAGTATGCGCCTGTGATCATTTTGTGTCTTCAAGAAAATCTTATCAAAATTACCCTTTTGAGATTCCCAAAAAACAAATGGCATACATAACCTTTTGAGCTGTCCTGCCTGCCTTGAATTTAACTGGCCTAGCAGATATTCTGGGAAGTGACTGTTTTGATTAGAGTGAGTGAGTTATACTAACAAGACTAAGCATAGTGTAATTAGAAGAGAACTTACATACCTGTTTCCATCCGCTGACAGCAGAGACACGTTTAAACATGCTTAGTTTATAATAAAGTGGGCACATAGGTAGTCCACTAGTAGCAATCTTTTTTTTTACTTACCTTTGTGTTTAGAGCAAAAGGTTATTTAGATTCAGCAGATTTTGTGATTACCCTAGCTAGAAAATTATTTTAAAATGAAAAGATAATATAAAAATTGACAATTTGAAGTTGTAAATTGTCATAGAAAAATTAATAATGTATAGTCATCATTCAAATTTTATTATTTTTTTTTCTTTTTCAGACGGTCTTAAAATCTCTACACTTGCCAAAAAACAACAGTCTTTATGTCCTTACTCCAGACTTGCCACCACCTTCATCATCTAGTCATGTTGGGTAAGGTATCACTTTTCTTGGGAATTCGAATCGAAACTTTGCTTGTTAAATTGCTTTAAACTTTATACTGATATCAAAATTAAGCCAAATCAGAATGTCTTTCAAGCTTTAACAGCAGTTGTTAAGTACACATTAATTTTCAAACTGGATTGAATAGTACGTTCCTTTGATTTAATGCTGAAATCTCCTTTCCAAAGGAAATCTTTAGTATATTACGTAATCAGTAATGGAACTTCTTTCCCTGTTTAAAGTGGAGGACTAGAGTTGGAAGAAAGGGTAAAGACTCAATGGAACTCCAACATCTTCATGACGAAAAGAGGCAAACCCATGAGGAAAATTCATTGGACTCTATAATAATGTTTTATTATTATTTTCTATTAGAAATTAGTGATCTGATTCCCTTTTTCAGTTTTCAAATTAAATTCACTTTGTATATGGAGTAATGAACGATTTTATATTATCCCTAGTTGAACCAAACTGATTTGGAGTAAATGATTATGCCAATTAGAGGTAGTTTTTATTATCTTTTCACAGAGTGCTTATATCATTTCAGAACTGTTTTGGGGTTTTTTACATTTTTTCATTGGTTCTCAAGTGGTGGAAGCAACTTACTGGTCAGCTGCTAACTTAAAAGTCCGGCATTTGAACTTATCAGTAGGTCAGAGAAGAAAGGCTAAGCAGTCTGGTTTTGTACAGATGAAAGCCAAGAAAGATCTCTGAAGCAGTAACTACCACAGGGTTACTGTGAGTTGCAATCAATTAGATGACTGTGGTGCTTAAAATTTTTTTTCATAAGGTTTTCACACACTTTTAATTATTGAATGCAATTTACTGAAGTTTAAGGAGTTGGTGAATCTGTCCTCTGGAGATGGTGTCCTTAAACTTTGACTTTTGCCAAACTTTTTTCCACCAACTACTGAATAGCTTTATTATTAGACAAATAGTAGGTAAAATAAAATTAAGATTGTCTTTACCCAAAAAAATTACTCAACTGAAAAGTTAAGTCTAATCTTATTATATTTGGCATTCTGTTAATAGTTTGTTTTAGGTTATGATTTCCTGGGTTGTTTTTTATATTCTGGGTCCGGATCATATGTTCATAAGCACTGGAATTTATACAATATTTTGAAACAGCCAAATAGTATTTGTAGTTCTTGTGGCTTATTGTAATGTTGATATAAGCGTCAGGTGAGATCTTAAGTTAAGCAAGGAGTTACTGGTCTAGTGCAATATCTAGTCAGGTACACATTGTTTTGTAGGTTTAATATAATCACAAGCATCTAAGATGTAATCCACATAATTAAAAGCAGACAAGAGATATCAGTTGTTATAATCTATTGCTTTCCAGTAGCATGATTAAATGGATTTATCAAAATGTCTTTCTGGGCTAATGGAAATATTCTTCATTGCCATGTGGCTGACCTGTTTAAACGATAGCCATTAATTCAGTTCCTCGGCAATGCTGAGGCCTACAATGCTGCTGAAAGGCAGTATTTCTTAGAGAACGAGTATTTCATATAGCACTAAAGTACCCACTCCTGCTTGACCATATGGGTTTCTACCAAGTTATTGTGATGCGATTTTCCATATTGGAACAATAGAGAAATATTCAAAGCCAAACAAAAGATAAAGACTGTAGAAAATTTGGGTGATGGGAGGGAGGGCATATCATGTGAAAGTCGTAGATTAATGCATATTTTATTAAAATATAGCAAAAAAGGTAAAGTTTATTTATGTTTGTCTAATGTATCTTTTCGTGTGATATTTATCTTGATTTATATTGATTTCAAGTGTGAAAATTCAAAAGCAGTAGAATATAATAAAATTCATGCAGAACTTTAAAAATTAATAGTGGGGTCAGTTGCTGTTGAGTTGATTTTGACTCATGGTGACTTTGTAGCACTGAGTAAAACTTCCCCATAACATTTCTAAGAGTATAATGCTTTATGAAAACACATTGCCATATCTTACATGGCTGGTGGCTTTGAACTACGGACCTTTCTGTTTGCACCAAATGCTTAACCACTGTGCCACCAGGGCTCATTACAAGTTAATGGTTTGTTGTTAAGCACAATCGAGTTGCTTCCAGCCCCTAGCAATCCTGTGTACAAAGAATGAAACACTGCCTGGTCCTGCATCAACCTCATAATTGTTATGATTGAGCCCATTGTTATAGCCACTGTTTCAGTCCATCTTGTCAAAAGCTTTCTTTGTGACTGTCCCTTTACTTTATCAAGCATGATGGATTTCTCCAGGGACTGAGTTATTTAGACAACGCACATAAGTATGTGAGATGAAGTCTCACCATCTTTGCCTCTAAGGAGCATTCTGATTGTACTTCTTCCGTGACAGATTTGTTTGTTCTTTGGGCAGTCCGTGGTACTTCCTGTACATTATTCCAGCCCTTTATCCACTTCAGATTCACCATTTAAAATAAAATTTTAATATATTTTGAGTGATTGGTCTGATGTTTTATTTTTCTTTGAAGTGAGTTCATGTGGTTTTTAAAGATTGGAGGGCAACTGGAGAAAATATTACATTACCTTTAATTGTTGTGCTGGAAAACTCCATTATTCTAACTCTAGTACAATAATAAACATTAACTATTACAAACTATCAGTCTCTTCAATGGGAGTGGATAGCAATGGAATGTTTTTTAAATTAATTTTTCATTGTGAATTAAGGAGGGTGTTTATATTTCAGACATCAACTCTGCAAACATTGGAATTAGAGCACCACTCCTAGGGAAGATTTATATATAACCAAGTCAAAAAATGATATGATTTTAATACATCTCTTCAGACAGAAGACATCAGAATATACCGAGAAAAATTCTGATTTCCTATCCCAACTTTAAAATTTACATTTATAAAATAAGTATTGTTTCCAGCTGCCAGAATCGTTATGAAAAATTCACTAAGAAGTACAGTAATTAAAATGATTTATTTATGCAAAGGAACCCCGGTGGCGCAGTGGCTAAATGCTCATGCTCCTCTGCTAACCCAAAGTTCTGTGGTTTGAACTCGCCAGAAAGATGTGGCAGTTTTGCTTTTGTAATGATCTGTAGCCTTGAAAACCCTCTGGGGCAGTTCTACACTGGTGGCCAGCTTTTGTTTTTGTTCTTTTCTTCAAATCTCAATAGTAACACTTTTCCTTCAAATCTCACTTGATTTTTATAACAACTCTGCAAGGATGCAGGCCGATTTTTATACCTCTGTTTTATAGATGGAGCCCTGGTAGCATAGTGGTTATACATGAGGCTGCTCCTTGCAGGGTCAGCAGTAAGAAACTAACTCCTCAGGAAAAAGATTGAGGCTTTCTATACCCGTGAAGGGTTATAGTCTCAGAAATTCAGGGGCAATTTTACCATTTCCTGTAAGATCACTATTGGTGTGAAGTGGTTTCATTTTATAGATGGGAGCCTTGCCGACTTAGTATATTATGAGTTAGACCAGGGGCCCTCAAACTATGGCCCCGCGGGCCACATACGGCCCACCGAGGACATTTATCCGGCCTGCTGGGTGTTTTTGCCCATTTTGTTCTTTTACTTCAAAAAAAGAAATGTGCGGTAGGGTCGTTGCACTCGGAGCTGTCGGAGTGTGAGAGCGGGATGGGAATCTGGTGACACTATGTCTTTCTGCAGCTTCTCCCGGGCGAGTTTTTCCAGAATCACTTTGAACCTGCTGTCTACGTGTGTGCCAAGTGCGGCTGTGAGCTGTTCTCCAGCAGCTCCAAGCACGAGCACTCGTTGCCGTGTCCAGCCTTCATGGAGACCATCCACGATGATAGCGTGGCCAAGAGGCTCGAGCACAATCAGCCTGATGCCTTTAAGGTGTCCTGTGGTAAATGTGGCCATGGGCTTGGCCACGAGAGTTCCTCAGGCGGGGCCAGTCCTGCTTCTGAATATTCTGCAGCTCCCTGAAGTTCATCCCTAAAAGCAACAAATCTGCCTCCCAGGGGAAGTTGGCAGCCCAACTCCAAGCAGCCACAGGCATTGGTCACCCCCCTTTAGAACTACAGCCTTCTGACCTTCAGGCAGGGAGGGCTGGATGCGGGGTGCGGGGAGGGGGTGTTTCCTGACGACCCTACCCCCTGTGCCAGGATGGGGCCTAGGGCTGGTTCATCTTGGCCTCTCAGGCTCCAGGCTGGGACTCTGGTCTTAGGGTGTCGGTGTCTTGAAAGACATAACACCCTTGGCTTCTCTCACCCCTATGAGCCCCAATTCTCAAAGGGGCTCCAGCCCTCACCAGGGCCCGTGCTGACCCCATAAGTTGTGTGACCAGATGCAACCACTACAAGGCCATGTCCGAGTGGGCAGCTCCAGCCCGGTCACTGCATGAATTGCTCTGGTCAAATCCTTCCAGGCTGACCAGGGCACTGATGGTCTGTGACCTGCTGGTGCATGCAAGCCTATGGCACAACCCCTGAGTCCCAGGTCTCCTTCTGTGTGGTAGAGCAGCCACTGATCCATGGTCTACCTACCAGTCCCTGGTGGGACCTGGGAGGTCTTGTCCCACAGCCTACCTGCCAAGCCTGTCCCAGGAGAGTACGCCCAGAGCTCCTGGTGGTGGCCTCATCCTCTCCCATCTCACTCTCCAACTTTCTGAACAGATGGGCTGGAAACTAATAAAGCA